AAGAGCCGTGACGGTGGGTGTCGATGAAGCCGGGAGTGAGGATTTTGTTAGTGATGTCTACCTCTTCCACGTCTGACGGGATGGAGACCGAAGAGGGTGGAATTGACCCAGCAAAGACGCTGGTGATGCGGTCGTCGGTTACCAAGACAGAGCCATTGCGGATGACATCGAGAGAGTTTGTTGCGCGGTCAAAGGTAATGATTGTGCCTCCGGAGAATAGGATCGATGAAACTGAGGCGCTCTTGGCTGAGACAAGAAGTCCCGAGAGGAGGACCCCAAGATGATTGGCGTGCATGGTGTTACCAAGACCGTCACTTGTTGAAAAGATAGGTCTGCGAATAAAAACCAGCCATCGGGTCGTCAAGACAACGGTCTACCACATCTCTTATATCTCCCAACATGAGGCTGATGTACATGCTCACAACGACGTTGCATTGCCCAGCACCTTCGGGATTTACAGCGTCATCGCGAAGAATAACTCCGATCGGGCGGGTTTACAACCAATGTTTTGCATCGCCCCACAGAATGAACGCAACCATTCTTCGCTTTCTAATGGTTGGTAATCTGGTTGGACCTGGTGATGCTGATCCAAGACTTCGCAACCGACAGCTTGGTTCGGTCTATTGGCCACGTGCTGAGCGGCGTTGGGAATTCCTTTGAGGAAATCTGATGACATGCTGACGGGAAGACCTGTTGGGTTGTGTGCGTCCAGTCATGATGAAAAGGTTGGAGAAAAACACGGGATCGCACATCTCACCTCATCAACGTTGTGACTGGTTGATCATGCATAGCATCCTTTCCGATCAAATGAGGAGATATCTTACCACATGGCTGGCATTCGGTACCACCGAAGATCCCTGAATATGCTCTTGGAGTATGTGAGCCATGAGTGCAGAGGTCACTGGGGAGGTTGCCTCGAGAATGCTTCATTTGCTCCTTGGGAGCTACGTCCAGCGTGGAAAAACAACAACATTGGTTGGCCTGCCCGGCTAGCTCAATCGGTAGAGCGTGAGACTCTTATGGAGTACTCCGAAATCTCAAGGTTGTGGGTTCGACCCCCACGTCGGGCTCAATTCCCGTCCTAGACGACTCTTTTTCCTTTTAAAAGTCACTTGTCAACTTTTTTGTTTTGTTTTTGTTTTGTTTTTCTCTTGCGCAGGAGAGTCATTCCGCTGGCTAATGCGAAATCGGAGGGCAAGAAAAGAAGTTTGGTTTTATTAGCCCTGAGCCCCTCTATCTACCAAAAACCGCATTAATAACTAACATCTGACCCCCCATCATCTCCCATTCAGACGATGCACTCAGCGGCATGTGTAACCGCCATCAATGACAATATCCGCACCCGTGGTGTAACTGCTCGCATCGCTAACCAGATAGACATAAGCCCCCTTCAGCTCTTTGGCATTCCCTGGACGGTTGAGGGGAATCATGCTGTTCCACAGATCCTGAGTCTTTTGGTCGATAAAGTCTGACAGTCCCGTGTCGATGTAGCCAGGGGAGATGCTGTTGACGCGAGCAAAGCCGCGCCACTCGTTGGCAAGAGACCGGGCCATGTGAATGCAGCCAGCCTTGGCGACGTTGTAAGAGGTCTGTTCCTGAGGGTAGTTGGCGATGTGGCCGGACATGGAGGCCGTGATGACAAAGGATCCTGTGCCGCGCTCCTTGAAATGGGGTCCCACTGCCTTGGCGCAGTAGGCTGTCCCGCTGAGGTCGGTTTGGACAACGCGATCCCATTCTTCCTTGGAGTCGTCGAGGAGTCCGCCGTTTGCTGTGGCGCCGGCACTGTTGTGGATGTTAGTTTGTGTTCAATGACCCAAAGGTTGGATAATAAAACTTACTTGGCGATAAAGGCGTCAATCTTCCCAAAGTCCTTGATGACGTCACTGACCAGACGTTGGCAGTCGGAGTAGTCGTCAATCTGAAGCTTGTAGCACTTGGCCTTGACGCCGTACTCTTTTTCGAGCTCGGCCACGTTCTTCTCGGCGCCCTCTTTCCTGGAGGCGTATGTGATGGCGACATTGGCTCCCATCTCGGCGCAACCGCGGGCAGCTTCAATGCCCATGCCTCGGGGGCCCGAAGCCCCTGTCACGACGACAACCTTTCCCTTGAGGCTGAACAGGTCGCTCAGCTTCTCAGCCTTGGGGACAGCATTGCCTGTTTGCGCAGTCATTGTGATATGGGTGTGTGGTTGTTGTGTATAAGTGAACTAAAGCGTGGGAAAAGGGTGGAATGCAGTTGGAAGGTGGGTGTGACAAACAGGAGGGGAAAAAGAGTGATATATCAACATGTCGGCGGTTTATTGAGGTATCGGGATGTGGCAACACTAAGCGTCGACTGCTGATGTCATTGTCCGTTTTGACATGAGATTTCTTGGGTGAGGATGCAGCAGGAGGACGGGACTGGAGTAAGAAGGAGTGGAGGGGTCGGTGGACATGTCATTGTGTGCTAGCAGTGGTGTGGTGGGGAATGATGGGGTTTATGTTAGTGAACAAGCACTGAAGCACCACAGCTGTGCAACATGGCCGTGAGGATACAGTGAAACAAAAGGGATTCCCATCATCGACACAGAAATACCAGCCAGCACAAACAATAATATTCCGTCGGATGTTTTAAGCATACATTCCGACCACTGGATGATGCTCTGCTGATGTTTTTCCCTGGCTGCGGCCAGCTCAGCGGCCTGGGGCCATGTAACAACAGAAGTGGGGGCGTCTCACAAACAGAAGAGTCGCTGACTGAGAGAGAACAAGTGGCCGGGCTTCCAGGCGGCGCCGCCAAACCCAGCGACCGGCCGTCGCTATTATAGAACACGATGTTTGCCATGGACCTATGGACTTCACTCCGGATGATCGCCATCGTCCTCCGAACCGACCGACTTCATCTGCCGACATCAACGTCACACGGGGCCACATCAACATTTCCACCCTGCTCCATTCTGATCCGCCCAGAGCCGCCAAATGCCAACATCAAGACTCGGAATGACGACAGCCAGGAACCTCCAAGCAAGTGCTTCCCAGTGATGTCCCGCGCAATGTTCTCGCCCAAGACACCCTGTATACACACACATCGACAAGAACCGGCCGTGTTTCTCAAACATCGCCTACCGAGCTTCGCCCCGACCGCCAAGATGACAGACCAACGGAAGAGCTTTGCTGTGCCGTGATGGGGTTAGGGTTGGATATGGAACAGGGCACTTGTCACGGTCATCACTTGGGCCAACACGCCGCTCTCGAAGCTGTTCAACTCCGAAAAGAGCCATGCCATGGCCTCAATGTTTTGAAACGCGGGTATTATTGGGAAGCCCTCTCAATGTTTCGACCACGGGCAACCGACAGGTCGGGTCGCCCACACACCAGCCCCAGCCCATCGCCACCACCGTCTCATTGTATTAGTCCAACAACAGCGTTGTTGTTGTTGTTGTTGTTGTTGATGGCTCTCTTAAAACTCTTTTCATGGCCGTTCACGGTCGCACCTTTTGGATTTCTTTTCCCTTTCGTCATATTCTCCGACTTCCGAATGACCCTGGCTTGGTTTGGGCCATTCATCCCGTTGTTGTTGTTGTTGTTGCTGCTTGACTAACACCAGGTTTTACGAGAGAGAGAGAGAGAATAACACGCCAAACAGACGAAAGAACGCACGCTCGGTAGTTGAGCGTGGAATTACTTACACAGAAGGACAAGATGGGACCCACACGACGATCTCCGAACCTCATCGAGTATGTCTGGCCTTGTGGCCACCACGACAATGTTTTGGTGGAAAAGCCACCGGGGATCTCTTTTGTGAGAGGGGACTTTTCACTTCCTATCGCCAAATCACCAGAGGAGTTTACAGAAGAAGAGAGGAAGGGCGTGCCCGGGCGGCGGAAATGCTGCAGGTGCTGGGCATCGAGCAGTTTGTTCAAGCCGCTCGAGGAGTGCGGGGAGTGTGATCATGCCTTTGTCGACTGCTCAAACTGCATGATTGTGAACTCTTCTGGGTCACGGGAGATTGCCACCAGCGACAAGAGGGTTGTGGGAGAGTTTGATCAGACTCCCGAGGCGTGGAGGTGTGGGGAGTGTGAGGCCATTAATACTTTTGATGATGATGGGGCTTTTAATGGGTTTTTGGCGCCAAAGGTGGCGGATTATGCGGAGGACACGGCCTGCAAGAAGTGTAATGCTCCGTTCAGCGAGGAGAATTGGGTTATTAGCCCGTTTAGCATTTATCTTGGCACGTGGAATGGGAGGAAGGTTGCTGAGGGAGGGCCATGGCATTGGAATTTGGAGTGGCACCGGGATAGGGTTGGGAAAGATCACAAAAAGGAGGACTGCTACGGGCCGAGGAAGAATGGGAGGCGGAGACGGGAAAATCCATGCATCAAGAAGGATTTCACCGTCGAGGTACCAAAAGAGAATGAGGTTGTTCCAGTCCCCGTTGCTGTTCCATCGGAGCCGGAACAGACAGAGCCATCAATCCTGTCTACACCATCAGACTCGCCATCACCATCACCGCAACCGCCAGTCGATGAGCCTCCAGGAGAAGACCAACCCCCGGCATCCCCACAACTAGAGGTCGAAGGTGACGAACCACTAGACTCACCTGGTTTCACGATCGGGGACTACGGCGATGATGGCATTCCAGAGGACCACCCACTGTATCAAGAGCGACATCTTTCCAACCCATACGATGATCAAACAACAGCTGATCTCGGCTCATACTACAACCCTCCACCGACTATCCCGTACGGCGAAGACGAAGAAGATGGGCAGACACTTGACGACTACTACCAAGAAAACCCGCCATTGGAAGATGAGCCTGATTTCGAGCCAGAGAGTCTCGAAGGTCAACCACGGTTCGAGTTTGTCGTTTCTGGACCGCAGGAACATGCTGCCGATGAAGAGATTGATCAGGAGCAGGTTGGTCATGAGGAGCCTGTTCAGGACGACGAGGAGGTGGACCAAGACGATGCTCAGCAGGACGACCAGCACGAGCAAGTTGAGCAAGACGGCGATCATGACGAGGAGGTTGAACAGGAAGAGTTTGATCACGGCGAGGTCGATGAAGACGAGGATATCGCAGTCGACGACGATGTCATCTCCCAGCCTCAAACCCCCATCATTGAAGATGCATCAAATGACGAAGAGACTCGGGCCGATGTCGACCAGGCGTTGGACTCCCCTCTTCCTTCAACGGAACCAGAGGACTTGGTTCAGGACGACGACGACGCCGTCGATTCTCAGAGCATCCCGGAAGATGAAGAAACCCAGGAGCCCGCCGATGCCGAGACCCTTTCCGCGCACCAAGAACATGTCGCCGCCGACGATGACCTCGCCCAGGAGCACATCTCCGACTCTGAGCAGTATGACCAAGCTTCCGAGGATGGAAGCTTCCAAGACATCAACCAGGATGAGGTGATCTCTGACAACTTTGAGGAGGTGGAATACAGCCTGAAAGATCCCGAGTCCTCTGATGAAAATGGAGAGCGCCCCATGGGGACCGACCACGAGGATTTTCAGCCTGGCCAGGACGAGGTCAATGATGATGGGCTTTACGAGCAGGATTCCCCTGAGGAGGATTTCTCTCGCGAGGACCAACAGGAAAGCGAATACGTCGCTGAGGATGAGGAGGCGAACGTAGAGGTGGATCGGTCTCCCGACCTGGTTGATGAGACTGTGGAGGAGGAAGCCGTCCATCAAGAGGATGTAAACCTGCCAGAAACCAACGCCCCCGAAAACCTTGCCCATGCCGAGCTTTCAGAAGACGACTGCGCTGAAGACGACTACGCGCAAAGTCAGGCTACCCCTACCTCAGACGACGCTTTTCCAGAAGATACCCTCGAAACTGAAGACGGCGCCTCAGATGACGAGGCTCGTTCTCCACATGCTGAATCGTTTGATGACGAGTTTCGCGAGGAGGCGGAGACATCATATGAGAACGCCTCTGACGGCAAGGAGGGATTACTGGGGCAAGACGCTGATGAATTCACCCCTGCTGCCTCGGACGACGAGCAAGTTGTGGATGAAGATGGCGCCGAGATGACACCTGAAGACCAAGAAGAGGATCTTCCAGCGGAAGACTGCCCCGCCGACGAAAACCAAGTCCAATATGGAGAGGAGGAGGCCCTTGCTGTGGAAGATGATGATTATCCTCTGGAAGATGCCGATGAAGCAATTGAGGCTGATCGCTCATTCGAAAACAGTTCTGTCGACGGAGGGTTCACGCCCCAGGATTTGACTCCTGTTGAGAGCCCCATTCGTGACGAGTTCCCAGAGGATCGAGTTCAGTCTGACGGTGAATATCTCGACGAGGACGCTTCTCAGTCCGTTGATGACGGTCAGGTTCAATACGAGAAGGAAGAAGCATTGGAAGACGAGCATATCGTTGAGGAGGCTGTTGCCGGCCAAGAAGTCGACTATTCCTCTGAAACCCAGTATTTCACTGATGAAGAGGCACCTGTTGATGAAGCCCTCTACGATGAAGATGCCCAAGACAATCCCCCGGACAACGATAATTTCGTCGACGAAGATGGCTACGCATCTGAAGTACCTCCCGCTGAAGACGAGATTTGCAATGAAGAGTACCAACCCAGCGACCAGGAATACTTCGACGAAGATGCCGAGTTTACTGCTGACGATCAATACGACGAGGAGCCTGCTCCGGAAGATGATGAATACCCCGAATATGACCAGCAGCAGTTCACCAATGGCGAGGAAGAACTCAACACCGAGGCCCTCGACAACGATGCTCCGCCATACGACGAAGATCTCCTCCAGGAAAATGAGTATCAGCCGGAGGAAGAGGACTTAATCGACGGGGAGCGCTCTCTACCTGAGGATTTCGTCGAAGAAGCTGACGGTGAAGGTTTCGTTGATCACGACGACTCGGAGCATTACGACGAAGAAATCCCTGTTGAAGGCCAAGAATACGAAGAAGACCCCGCCTACGAAGAGGAAGAGTATCCGTCTCAAAACGGCGACAACCAGTTTGACGAAGTGGAACCTGTTGAGGACGGCGAGTACACTGAGGATGACGCTCAGTATCAGGAGGAAGCACCCGTCGATGACGGCGAATATGCCGGAGAAGACAACGCCCAGTACGATGAAGAGGCTCCTTTGGAAGATGGCGAGTACACCCCACAAAATGACGAATTTGTCGACGGTCAACGCTCGCTTGATGATGAGGTCTTTGAGGGCGATGGCATCCCTGTTGATGATCAGCCACTTGAGGACAGGGAGGATGAGTACTACTACGACGAGCACGCTATTGACGACGAGGCTTTTGACGAGGAGCCCCTTCAAGAAGAACCCCTTGACGAGGAGCCGACTGACCAAGAACCCCTTGATGAAGAGCCGATTGACAAAGAGCTGCTTGACGAAGAGCCCCTTGGCGACGAACAGGTCGACGAAGAGGGCTTCGAGGAAGAAGTCTGTGAAGAAGTTGCTCTCGAAGACGAAGCTCAGCCTGAAGAACCTCGAATGACCGAAGAAGAGCTCCGTGAACTTGAGGAAGCCTTTGACGCCGACTTTCTCAACACCATCTCTGGTGACTTGGGTGTTCTCGAGATCCCTACCGCTGACGACCACATCACCTTTGAGGAGCTTCAAAATCAGAAATGTGCAGAGCCAGAAGGAGATGGAGAGCTAGATCCCGAGGCTGAGGAGGTCTTTGAGTGCGAAGCCGACCTCGAAGAGCAACAAGACTTCGACGGCCAGGAAGAGCTTGAGGGTCAAGACGAGGAGGAGCACGAAAGCCAAGACAACTTTGATGAGCAAGAAGACTTCGAAGGCCAAGAGGATCTCGACGGCGACGGCGAGCGCTCCCTGGATATTGAAGATGAGCAGGAATATCTTGAAGATCAAGAACACTTTGGCGACCAGGGTGAACTTGATGGGAATGAGGACCTCGATCAGCAAGAGGACTTTGACAACCAAGATGAGTACCAAGACCAGGAAGAGCCCCAATACGATCAGCATTTCGACGACGATGGCGAGCGTGGGTCGGATCTTGAGGAGGACCAAGAAGACTTCGACCGTCAGCAAGATTATGACGACCAACCGGAATTTGATGGCCAAGAGGACGTTGAAGGTCGGGAGGAACTTGACGCACAACCAGAATTCAACGACCAGGAAGAGGACTTTGAAGGCCAAGAAGAATATCAATGCGAAGATGGCGAACGCGATATCTTCCTCGAAGCCGAGGAAGGACAAGACCTGCTTAAAGACGACCAAGAAGGTGAATACCTCTCCGGTCAAGACGAAGCTGCTGAGTTCGAAGACGACTTCAACGAGGACGAGCTTGTCTCTGAGTTGCTCGACGAAGAAGATGACGACGACCTCTTCACCGTCTACGATGACGACGAGGAAAAGTTTGCTGTTGAGAAGAATATGTATGCTGTTCTTGATACTCCTGCTGCGGCGATGTATGGTCCGCCTGGTATGACTCACGACCTTGGCTGGGATGAGGATGAGGATGAGGAGGAGTATGAGGAGGGAGAGGATGGAGAGGAGGTGTATGGGGAGGGAGAGGAGGTGTATGTTGAGGGTGAGTCGTTGGAAGAACCAGAGTATCTTGAGGATGGTGAGGGTGAAGCTGAAGAGGGAGAATTCCTTGACGAGGAAGATGGTGAGCGGGAGCTTGATGAGGACGAGATTGCAGAGGACGAGGAGGAGTATGTTGAGGAGGGTGAAGAGGAGGAGCTCTCTGAAGAAGAGTACCTCGAAGGCGAGGAAGAGTACGCTGAAGAGGAAGGCTTTGAAGGGGAGGAGCAAGGTGAGGGCTATGATGAAGAGGATGGCGAGCGCGGCTTGGATGAGGAGATGGAAGAAGGTGAGTTTGCCGAGGAGGGTGGGTACAGGGAGGGTGAGGCACAGAATGACATCGGCGTTAGCCCTGGAC